TCTATACATAGATTGCATACATTTATACACACATTACACATAAATTATGCATATATAATATATCCGTCGTTTATTTTTAGTTTAAGAGATTAGGTTGGCGCTATTTGAGTTAATTCTTTAGTATTATTTTTTTGCATATCTGAAACGATCGAATCCAAAACCTCTAGTTAAAAGTGAAGAAATCTTATTCATCCCACCACAACCCTTGAGGGTGTGACCTTATCTATCATTTATCATGTCAAAAGGAAATGTCGTTTTGCTTTCTGATTGTTCGAACAAAATCAATCATACTTAAAACTTAAAACATAGCCACAAAATTAAGCAGGATTTTGTGCATCTTTTCTGGAAAACCTTAAATAGACTATCTCTAAGAAATTGTTGCAACTTGCCTATATACTCTGTTTCTTTGATTTTTCTTCCACAAAATAAATATTTGTAAGGAAGTTTGTACTTTTCTTCCCTTAAGTATTAGCAAATTTTACTTTTGATCATTATGATATTTGGTTTATTAGCATAACATTCAATTAATTGACATATAAACTTTTGATCCCTCAACTCATGAATCTTCACAAATTGTATTAATTCATTTTTAATGCATCAAAGTAGGGATGATGATTCATAGAAGGAGACGACTTAGCTGTGTTTCTAAGATTATGGGCGACTAATACTATATTTGCAGCGAAAAGGACAACCTTGGAGTTTTTCAAAAGAAAATTTGTCTGTTGTGAGTGTTTGAATAAACAGTTGTTAATTAGCACTTTCATTTCACACTTGGCATTTAGGGTACGTCGATCTGTGCTGCAACGTGTTTGATTCATGAAAGTGCGAGTTTCTACTCAAAATGAAAAGCCTAAGTTTGCTCGTTAACTTCTTTAGTGTAAAAATAATTTAATTTTATATATTGATTATATATAAAGAATTGTAAACTATCTGATTTTAAAAGATAGTTACATATAATGGCAACCCCTCTCGAAATTTTGTACTTGGTGAATGTTTAACCAAAAATTAGATTTTAAGTCAAAGCTTGAATTTAGAAGAACTCGGGTTACTGATAATCGGAAAAGTATATAAGAAAGAGATTTTGAATAATATAATCAGAAAGCAAATAGAACAAAGTATATTCCAGTAATGTTTTTCGTCCCCCCACAGTTGTTTGTGACTTTCCCTTTTATAGCTGTTTTGGGAAAACAGATTTTTCTTGTCATAATAAGACAATTATGGGTAATTAATGACCTTAAATGTTACGTTACGCAATCATATACATTTAATACATATTCTCTAACGTTTCTAATTTTTAATACTCATTAAATGTTGTATTAAATTCTTACGTGCAAAATTCCATTTCTCAGGGAAGGGAACATTTTGTTCACCCACTAAACCAACTGTGGGAGCAGCAACAAATCGGGCATACCAGCCACGATCCTTATCATCTTATGGGCTTACCAAAACTCTCTTACTCCTAGCCACTAAGGTAAAGACGCCATTACGAAAAAGTCTAAGGGAGTGTAGATGAATTAGGTGGGAGAAGGTGAAATCAACGTTTGCTAAATTGGCCAAATGCCTTAAACAAGCAACAGCCCTCCATACAAGCGGGCCAACCTGTGCTAAACAAACTTTGAAGAAACGACAGAAATCGAGAATTACTGGGTCGATAGCTGGTTTAAACCCAAGAGTAAAAGGGTATGTGTAAACGAAAGAGAATCCAGTCATATATGATGTAATCCTCTGATTTGGATTGGGGATTACAATGGAAAAATCATTACTCCAGTGACAATATTTGCGAACTATGAGAGCTAAAATCTCTGTAATCATAGTGGGGTAAGCATCAACACGATCCAAACCAGAAATTTGGGTCTGAAATGATTGTCTATCATGCTGAAAAGATAAATCGTTAGGGACTATTTCTTCTACCAAGGGTTCCTGTAATGGTTCAGAGGCCTCCTTGCTCTTAGAAGATGATTTTTGAGTAAAAGAACCTCTAGTTCTAGAGGAAGAACCAGGGCTAGGAGAAGGCATGGCAGAACCACCACCACGAGAGGATCTTAAGCTACGAAATCTCCCACCTCTTCTATGTCTAACAGGGGCATTGGGAAAATTTCTAAAATAGGAACTCTCTTAGGGTTAGGATTCGAAGAAGACATGATGAAGAAGAAAAAGAAGTAAACAGAGATTCGCACAATTCAAGTGTTCAAGGAAAAAGTTTTATGTGGTAAAAGGTGAAAGGAAAAATTGAATTTATACTGATGGGCGACCGTCAAAAGTAAAAACGCAGTAATGGAAGGATCACTATAATGGTAACTGATACTTCATGAACAGTGGAGCCGAAAAGACAGCCTGAAAAAGTGTTGAAAATTGTGGAACCAATAAGAAGATGACACGCGTCTAAAGCATTAAATGGAAGTGATAATTAAAGCGTCAACTCTGTCAGAACATTAATGGTGACAAAAATTCTCCTTTAATGAATTCCACTTCCCAAATATTCAAACTGATGAATAAATGGAAAGTGGGGGGACTATCTGTATTGGGAAAAATTGTATTTATATATATGGTGATGTGTCATGGCACGTAGACTGATCAAGCAGTCAAAGAATTAAGGTTGGTTAACAGATACGAGCAAGATAAATGAAGAAGGCACGAGCAGTCATACAAATAATTCAACGCTCGTACCTATTCAAGACATTCAAAGGTCAAAGATCGAGAAGAGACAAAGGAATGAATCTGACAGCAAAAAAGAGCCCAGATACAACATTTGACGAGTATTAAAAACTAGAAACGTTAGAGAATATGTATTAAATGTATATGATTGCATAACGTAACATTTAAGGTCATTAATTACCCATAATTGTCTTATTATGACAAAGAGAAAATCTGTATTCCCAAAACAGCTATAAAAGGGAAAGTCACAAACAACTGTGGGGGGACGAAAAACATTACTGAAATATACTTTGTTCTATTTGCTTTCTGATTATATTATTCAAAATCTCTTTCTTATATACTTTTCCGATTATCAGTAACTCGAGTTCTTCTAAATTCAAGTTTTGACCTAAAATTTAATTTTTGGTTAAACAGTGAACATCAACTGATCACATGCCAATCTCAAAATTTTGTACTTGCTTAACATGACAGTTGATCATATGACATGCTTTTGGCATAGCCTCTGTATAGTGGCAATATGATACTCATTATTCTTGTCCTTGATGTTGATGGTCACGAGGACCTTTCTTATGCTTTTGTAATTGATGAACGTGTAGAGACTTTGCAAAAATTAGGGGTACAAAACGAACTGGAAAACCGCACCAAATCGAAAAGCTAAATCAAATTGATTAAAAAATCCGATTAGGTTTGGTTTGATTTGGTTTGGTATTGAGTAAAAAAACCCGAACCAAACCGACATATAAATATATAATTTTTATATATACTTTTAAGATTTTATATAGAAGTTTCTTTAAAAAATATCTAGAAATATTTGAGATTATCTTGCGGATATAATATTTAATAGTATATGAAGTGCTCCGTATTTATTAACCTTAAATAACGGGTTGTATGATCACTTTCTCATTAAGTATTATTGAAATGCGTCAAATCTCTTTGTTCTTCCATATTCATATCATATGTTAAGATCTATTAAATTATTATATCTTTTTTGAATGTGAAATGATTATTATTATTTAGGTACCGTATTGATTTTTATGTTTAATTATTAAATTCGGTTAACCTTGAAAGTGTATATCAACGAAACATTATTGTCAGACGACTAAAAAGAATAACTATTATGGGTTACTAAGAAAATTCTCTCATAAGAATATTTTGATAGATAATATGCTTGTCAATTTTTTATATTTTTACTAAACATATATTTACTTATAAAAAGTTTAATAAAGTAAGATTGAAATAATATTTAAGTAACAAAAAACTCGAAAAAACACGAAAAATCCGACAAAACCGAACCAATCCAAACCGATATAGTTGGTTTGGTATGGTTTTGATAAAAGCCAAACCAACCCGATCTATGTACACCCCTAGCAAAAATAATAGAAAATGTTGTTCGTACTTTACTCCTCGTTAATTTGTTAGGCTAGATACTCGATTTAATGTACGTCTCGCGACCTTTCTGTATAGCTCATGTATTCTTCACATACAATTTAATTTATCTTTCGACGGTTCTTTTGATTAGCTTCCTAGAAGAAAGACTAATTTATTTTAAATCATTAGAGAAAACAAGTGTCTAATAGATGCCACAACCACATTTACTAATCTAATTTGGGAAGACATTCTCCCAAAAGACATGTTACGCGGCGCCTTTCTGAGATTCCTTGGAAGGGCGACATAAGGCTAGGCAACTGATGTCAGTGCAATTGCTGTCCGCCAACTGAGGTCCCCTCTGTACGCTAGACGAGATTGTCAGTGCCGTACGGGAAAACCAATGTCAAGAGCAATTGAGAGAACAGAAATGAGAATTCAAAATGAAAGAAAGCTTGATTGCATTAATGAAAGCTATTACAGAAAAGCAACGCGGTGTCGAGGGGGAGAGACACCAGTACAGAGAATTGCTTACTTGCTAGAAAGTTTTGATTGCTTGATCCCCCTTAATAGTACTTAAAAAAAATAATCCAAAGTTACAAGACTAGACTTGACTAAGCTAGAGAAACATAATGGAAGTACATGAAATAAAACTACTCTATATTTACAATGAAAATGACTTAGTTTTCTATAAGGCAGCAGCAGGTCCGTTGTCAGCAGCAGTGTCTTTGGCATCACGGTCTGCGCGCGCGGCACTGTTGGCTTCTGCCTGCGGCTTGGCGCTCGCGAGTGATATCGGTGGGGCGACAGAGGCACCTGCGCGCTTGTCACTTGGCGCGGCCAAGACCACGGGGCCGTCCGTGGCGCTAGGCATTGGGAGGTTTGCTAGGACGCCACGGGGCGCGCCCAAGGGGTCATGGGGCATGGCTGGAAAGCCGCCCATGACACACACGCATGGACAAACTAGCATGCATAATAACCATGTGCAAAACTAGGATCCTATCACTCATATCCAGGGCATAGGACTCTTTTACAATGGGCTTTTTACTTGGCCTGAAAATGGTTTTAGATGGTTGTTTACAAGCAACTATATAGAGGTGAAGATTCTTCATTACTACACTTGAACAAACAGACATTGTAGATGGAGATAATGGCTCTGCCATTGCAGCAAAACATTTCCATTACCATTAATTTCAGATCGCCCTATCTTTGTGCAAAATCCACATACCCAACTTTCTCTTTAACAAACGAAAACACAAAAATTAGGAAACTGCAAAATCCGAAACAGACTCGGGGAAACCCAAAAACCCACATCAGTCTGTTAAAATCACGCCAAACCCAGCTGATTTTCAATCCAAAAAGTCCTCCCAAAAGCAAACTTGAAGCTCTTGAAACTGTCATCACTAAATTAGAGTCTACAGTAAGCAATGGCACTGAGGTTAATGACCCACAAATCTTCGCTTCCCTTTTAGAAACATGCTTTAATTTACAGGCTATTGATCATGGTATCCGTGTTCATCGGCTCATCCCCGAGAAACTTTTACGTAAAAACGTTGGCATTTCATCGAAGCTGATTAGACTATATGCGTGTAATGGACAAACCCAGAAGGCACACGAACTGTTTGATAAAATGCCTAAAAGAAATGCCTCAGCATTTCCTTGGAATTCGATTATATCTGGCTATGCTGAGAATGGTTTGTTTGAAGATGCGCTGGCAATTTATTTTCAGATGGTGGAGGAGGGTGTGGAGCCCGATTGTTACACTTTTCCACGTGCGTTGAAGGCATGTGGAGGAGTTGGGTTGATTCATGTAGGAGAGGAAGTTCATCGGCATGTAATTCGTCGTGGGTTGGAAAGTAATGGGTTTATTTTAAACGCGCTTGTTGATATGTACGCCAAATGTGGTGATATCGTTAAGGCTCGGAAACTATTTGATCGAATTGGGACAAAGGATTTGGTTTCTTGGAATTCAATGCTCATCGGATACATTAGGCATGAGCTCATTAGTGAGGCGTTCAACTTGTTTCGTCTTATGATACGTGAAGGAATAGTACCTGACTCTGTCTCTATGTCAGCATTACTTGTGGCCAGATTACCTTTATCAATTGGTAAACAAATTTATGGATGGGTTCTTCGTCGAGGGACTAATCAAGAATTGTCCGTTGTTAACTCTTTGGTTGACTTCTATGCGGACCAAAAAAAGTTGAAGCAAGTGAGATGGTTGTTTGAACATATGCACGAACGAGATGTGATATCATGGAATTCGGTCATTTCAGCGCACTCTAAGCACCCTGAAGCTCTATCGTACTTTGAGAAGATGGTGAAATTTGGTGCCACACCAGATGGTGTTACATTTGTGTCATTGCTATCGACATGCGCTCATTTAGGAAAACTAGAAGATGGGGAGAGGTTGTTTAGAATTATGAAAGAGAGGTATGATATTAGTCCAAGGATGGAACATTATGGCTGTATGGTGAATCTATATGGAAGGATAGGATTGATAGACAAAGCTTTTGATTTCGTAATGAAGAGAATGGAATTTGAAGCTGGACCAACCATTTGGGGTGCATTGTTATATGCTTGCTACAGACATGGCAATGTTGAAATAGGAGAGATAGCTGCGCAACATCTGTTCGAGCTGGAGCCGGATAATGAGCATAATTTTGAGCTTTTGATGAAGATTTATAAGAATGCTGGTCTACTAGAAGATGTAGAGAGAATAAAGCTAATGATGGTAGAACGAGGATTAGATCGTTCGATACCATACAAAAGATGTTAAAGTTTCTTGAAATGACATTTTGCCAATGATTTTTCAGTAAGGAAAGTGGGAATGAAAATTTAAGTGCACTAAACACAAAGGGAATGAAGATTCAGGAAACACTATTGAGACAGTTTTTGTACAACTATTTATCAATTTACAGAATTCTAATTTTCAACTCAGCATCATCAGGTATTTTGAATGATCAATTTGATATGGAACTGTCAAAGTGTTTGTTTCAATGAATGTTAGTTGATTCATATGAGACCTGTTTAACCATAAGAACTCGTCTTCTTCGACCAATCAACGTAGAATTCCATAGAGGATCACTTGAAACTACACTGTACCCTGCATTTGTATACAATTGTCGAGCACCAAAATCACCCTCATATGCCCTTAGGACGAGATAATCGAAACCCCAAAATCTTGCAAGCACATCACAGGCTTTAAGCAAAGCAGTTGCAACTTTCTGCCTCCTGCAATTGATGCAACATTTTAATGTCTCAAATCAACTACCATTCTTATGTGACAAAATAATGTTGTATGAAAGACTTTCATTTAGTAATTGGAGGAGAAAGTATTGAATCTTGGACCTGAATTGGTTCAATACAGCTATCCCAGAAATGTAGAGATATTCCTCAGCTTCAGGAAAGTAGTGAAGAACATCTTTATCTCTTAAAACTGTAGCGTTAACGACTCCTACAATATCTTGTTCCACCTCAGGATTATCACTTGAGGGCTCCGCAACTAAACATGCATACCTGTTTAGTCAAGAATTTCTTAATGAATATTTTCAGTTTAGTACAAACAAGAATCACATTGGTATAGTTGTAACTAGGGGTGGCAAACGGTCGGGTCGGGTCGGGTCGGGTCGGATATGCGCGGGTCAAAACGGGTAATTTAAAAAAACAGATAAATTATCCGACCCGGCACATATTGGAGACGGATAAAAACGGGTTTATCCGGCGGATAATATGGATATCCATATTATCCATGGCTTCTTAAATATGATCACTTATGAGAGAATTCCTAGTCTTCCAAACTTGAGGAACTCCAATTTGAGGCTTTACAAATGTAAAAGTTAAATGCATTAGTTATCCATTTGGTTAACTATTTTCTAAGTGGATAATATGGTTCTTTATCCATATTCGACCCGTTTTTAAATGGTTCGTTATCCAACCCATTTTTTTATGGATGGATAACTGTTTTCTTTTAACCATTTTGCCACCTCTAGTTGTAACTCATCAGAAATGAAGGAACTCAGGCGCAATAATTTCATTTCTTTCAACACAAAGGAGGTTCCATCTTCTCCTGTTAAGATCTAAACAACTGGTACATATTCATTCTCGAGTTCTTGAATTGGAAGGTAAAGAACCTAATGATTTTTTTCTGTAGTTTTAAATAATACATGTAAAGTCTCAATATCCATGTGAGCACAATGGCGTACACAGCATATTTTATAAATGGTGTCACAATTTGAAGAAGTGGACTAATGAACAAATCACTATAATAATAAGCAGTGTCATTTTTTATATTTATCCTCAATATTTTTATTTTTCCTATACATATCTAGTAAAAAATTTCGATGAAGCGGTGTTTCGTGACACCGCATGCAACAAGGTACGTACGCCCCTGGTTGAGCATATAAGAATAGAGACATCAAGACGAATGAAGAATTCATGTAACATGAACAGCATATTACCTTGGTGGAGAATGAGGTCATTTTTCTCTAAAAATACAAACAATCATAGTAATACATTTGGATTTTCGTAACAATAAGGCAAAAAAAAAAAAAAAAAAAAGAAAAAAGGAAAATTAAAACAGAAAAGAAAAAGTTGATGTTTACCTGTCTGGTGGTGAATTCCTTAGTCTGTTAACAAGTCCTGAAAGTAGTTTAGCCTGCGTAATAATCATAATTCTCATTTTATTATGTGGATATAAAATGTATGTCACTGATGCATAAACCATAATATTTGTAAAATTTCAACAAATAATATTCATTTTAAAACCATAATTTCAAAAATCCAATCTATTCTGAGTTTCATACTAAGAATGAAAACATGATATACATCTATGAAGCTCAAAACCCTAGATATAGAATATGTTGCAAATAGCAAACGCAGATTACGAAAACTACCAATAACATACTGTTTAACGATTTCAAAGAAGGAAGCTGGCCGGTGCACAAGGCATTCCACGTTCATGCACAGTAGCGGAGCCACATGCACCCAAGGAGTGTCGGTTGACACCCCTTCATCGGAAAATTATACTGTGTGGCTGGGTAATTTTAAAAAAATATGTATATATATATACTGTATATTGACAGCCCTTGACTTCTTGGTGAGTTTATTTCTTTATATTTTGATTTCCCTTAATGAAAATCCTGGCTCCGCCAATGTTCATGCAGGGTCCGTGGAAGGGCTGTAAATAACCTGCCCTAATGCAAGCATTAATGGCTACTTCCACGACTCAACCCCGTGACCTATAGGTTATAAGCCACACGGAGACAAACTTTACCGTTGCTCCAAGGCTCCCCCTACATTCTACTATCTAACGATTATCTTTCCTTTTTTTTCTAGGTCTGATTGTTTCTCTTGAAACCAACCAAACAGTGGATTATAATGCAGTATTCTAACATTTCTTTCGTGTTATGCAACCATATTCATTTCCAGAGAAGTAACACAAAACAGAGAATCAAGAAAGAGTATTATAATGGGGTTTTGAAAAGAACCTTAAAGAAATCAAAGGAAGTAGGTTTATGAAAAGCTTCAGCTTGAATTGCAGCAACTTTCCTCATTTCTTCTTTAGTCTCATTCATTCTTCTAACTTTCCAACCATTCTCATTCACAAAACAGTCAACCTCATAATCTCCTCTTTGTTTTCCAACATTTCCAACCTCAACCTTCAATCCCACTTCTTCTTCCCTTGTTGTTAATGACACTGGAAATGATGATGAACTACTACTGCAACAACAATTTACGATCAATCTGCCTATTTTCTTGTTGCTTCTGTTAATGTAAAGTACATTAGATGGTTGTAGGATTCTGCATTTCAAAGAAAAATCTTTCTTGAAAATACTGTGAAATTTTGGTTGGCACTGAATTTGCGCCATTTTTTTTCTTCTTTTTCCTCAGTTGAATTTTCAGTAGAGATTTTCGTATGCTTTTATAAATTGTGCTCGACTGATTCTCCTCTGCTGTCTAGACTTTTACATACTTCAAATTCTGGGGGGTAAAGACGGTTACTTAATAACAACCAACAACTTAAAAAACAATTTTTTGAAAGAAAGAACTCATGATAAACAGGGAACAAGTTGGCGTGACAAAACGGATTTTAAAAAATTTAAATATTCATCCATGTTATCCACTAAAAAAAATAGGTTGGACAATTAACTTTTTTAAAATAGATCAAATATGGACAATATTATATTACAATGACACTATACAACCGCTCTCAAAATAAATATATATTTTGTGTGTATATATATGTTTCTACATATTATATAAAAAAATATACAAATTTTAAATAATTTAGGCGTGATCTAAAAGTGATTTTTGCCCTTAAAAATTGAATACTTGATGAATAACTAATAAGTTTTACTTTTATATTTGTAAGGAATCTACCGTTCCTTTTATAAAATCTTGAAAAGATTTATTATGTAGGGTCAATCTTGTAGGGGTTGAGGGTCCGAAAATATATATCGGTTTTACTGGGATGAAGCTATAACGGAATTGGAAGTTGGATGTTAGGTTATCTAAAAATCAAACCAAATCAAGCGACTTTACTTCATTCGTTGTCGAAGATGGTGGGAATACATCTGAGGGGAATTATTAATTTTTTTTTTTAAATCAAAAGTCCATCACCACGATGGAGGAGTTAGGCAGACTCCGACCTGTGCATTTCAAAAATAACAATTACACGGAGGAGGACGTAAACCTTAGCCTCAATTACATAGTGTAGATTAGCAACAGCCAAACTAGTGTACAATTGCTCAAAGGTACTAGACCAGAGAATGGAAAAAAGATGCACCAGATACAATCGTGTTCCAGTTACCCAACCTATTAAAATATATTGGCATCATTGACTGAAAATTGGTTTCTTCTTGGTCTGAATCTGAAATTAGGGAGGCCATGTTGATCTAACTTCAATGCAGCTCTAACCTGACATGGAAGAGAAAGAGCCTCATTGAAGATAGCATGATTGTATTTGCTAAGTAGTCTGCTATCTTATTTCCCCCTCTAAATACATGCACAAACTTGAAATTTCCGATCTTGGTGATATCCCAAATATGCTCCAAAACAAGCTTCATTTGCCATGATGGTTTTATCCTCATGTTAATCATATTAACAATCAACAAAGAGTCTGATTTCACAATCACATTCAAATGTCCTAAATTGATACCAACAACCCCGCATAACTGCCTTAGCTTCAGCCATGTTATTACTACAATGTCCATAAGATTCCGCAAAAGATATCACCATATCACCATAGTGATTTCTAATGATGCCTCCACCCCCACCAGATCCCGGATTACCTCCTTTGCTCAATCCATTAACGTTTAGTTTAACCCAACCGATGTCCGGTTTTTGCCACTTGACTGGCTGGGAATAAATAACTTGTTGTAGTCTCTCCACTGATCTAGACTTATCAATCCATACTTGAGGAACTAAGAGATTAGGAAACTGACAGTTAGGGATCAAAGTTAGACAATTGGTTACTTGCTGAATAATATGCCATCTGGACATGTGCCTATTGTCAAACTTAGTTGTACACATGTTCTTCCAAATTTCCCAACAAATTACTGATGGCAAACACTGAAGTAGCGCGGAATGAACATTGTTTCTCCCTTTAGTTAACCACCAACTCATTAGAGTCTACCTTAAATCATCTGAGGGGAATTATTAGTCAAAACAATGTGCAAAAAGTGTGTTCGCGTTAATGATTGTATTTCTAATTTATAAGTCGTGTTTTTTATTTTCAATTTGTAACTCGCATTTCATTTGCTATATGTAATAATTTATAAGTTGCAATATTTGCTTTTTATAAGTTATTTTTGATATTTGCTATTTATAAGTCGCATTTAGGGTATCAATGATTCGGCTCGGTCGATAAAATTTATATCATACCTATTTATATCATAACCAAAATTAAACTTTTCGGAACAGTCCCAATCATCTTGGTTTCTCTTCGGTATAGGTAAGATTCAGTTAATTTTTTAGTA